GCCTCAAAGACTCATTTACAAGATTTACAGCGGTTAACTGGACACATGTTGGAGTTGGAGGCAAAAAAATTCCTATCAGACTTTTTTTTCATGCCTGAGAAAAAACCCTCTAATATTAAAAAAACACCTCACACAAACAAGCACATAGTGACGTAGACATTCTGCAGAGGGGAGGGGGGGAGCCGAGAGCGGTGAGCAATGATCATAGATGCTCTCGAGGTCACTGTAAGAGTTCTGATAAGGATGGAATAATGAGTCAATGTCCTCCGATGAGATTCATAAACATTCTCGAGGGATGTCGAGGAATGGCCAAGGATAATGTCTATGAGAATCCAAGAGTCTTGAAATGATGACACAAAGTTTATTCAGCTGGTTCCATCTGGTTATCAGTTGGAAATTCCTCAGGGAGGGGGTGGTGAGCATCAGATCACATGTTCTCCAGGTGAATTCAGATAAGATGACCTTCAAGACCAGCCAGGGGAGCCAAATTCAGATAAACACACAGTTGTTTTGGGGACAGGCAGAACTTAATGACATCTACCTTGAGTCTGTGTTGGTCCACTCAGTTCTGAAATGTCCAAATTACATGGCCACACCGATGGAACGTGACTGAGTAAAATCCCCAAGATCTGATCCATTCAGCCCAAAGCATTTGAGTCTGGGTACTCGAGGCACGAACCAAGCCTTCATAAAGGCAAGCAGCGTGATCGGGTCCAAATTTGCTGCTGACGACTTCCTTGATTGTAGATAAAACCAGCAACCAGCCGAATCCAAAAAGCAGGAACCAGTTATCGTAAATCCAATTAAATATGCGTCCTTAAAATCCACAGATGGCAGCAGAGATAGACACATCATCAAGTCTTCCAGTCGATGAGATATCCAGCTGCGTACGTGCCAACAGGGCAAATCGGCTCGCCTAAAGCCTGTCTTCTCTTGAAGAAATGTTGTAAATTGAGTTGAGGGACCAACTGGTCAAAACAAGTCCATAATTATGGTTCAGAAGATGTAAGAGAGTCTCAGGTCATTTTCACACCAGATAGTCCGGTAGACTCGGTTCGGGACCAATATTCATGACCTTTTGTTACATTTGAGCTGGTGCGTTTGCATTCACACTGCACTGTGCAGTCGAGTCAACCTGTTGAACCAACCTGTTCCCCCGCTCGCCTGTGGGGGCGCTGCACCAAGAACTACTGAAAGAAACGACACAAAAACCTCTGAAGACACGTCTTCTTCTTCTGGAAATAAAAATAAAAACCAAGTGGCATCAAATTTTAGCAGTTTTAGGAGTTATATGTTGTCATTTTTCAACCATGGACTAAGAATGAGCAGAAGATGAGACAGAAGACCATGGAGAATATTGTTTTTCACACAAGGCAGCTGATGGCTCCATATAAGAGAAATGTGTGTTTGTCCTGCGCTGTACTCCACTTCCTGCTTGTTGAGCGGGGCTCGGTCTGTTTACATTCACACTGTACTCGGACCGCGCTGGAGTTCTCTTCTACCGGACCGAGACCTAGGTTTTAGCCCGGGCCAGAGTTCACCTTTTTGTTCCATGACAGAGTTCCATGGCGCGTTCATACCTCCCCAAACGAACCGGACTTTCTAGGAAAACGAGCTGGAGTTCAGGACAACAGGGCTGGTGTGAACGCACCCTCAGAAGCAGTTTCACAGACAGATAGAGCGCAAAGCAAAGCGGAGAGGGAGGGGAGAAGCATCCGATCTCTGTGAGAGCAAGTGGTGAAAGAAGTCTGATCTTGATTCAGAAATTCTGACCAACTATAGATCTATATCTAATCTAAGTTTCATCTCAAAAATTCTAGAGAAACTATCCTGATGCATGCTCAATAATCCAGGTAGAAAAATCTAAAAAAGTTAAATCTGGTCCTCTGGACATTCAAAAAAA